ATACACACCAATAAGCATGATCAAAAAATATGTTATAAGCAAAGCAATTGGTTTATTGTATTACATAAATTTAGTATGATCGGTAAAAATAAAAAATAGAATTGGAAAAAAAACAGAGAACAATTTCAAACACTGCTGACAGCATTCTGAAGAAAAGCTTGTCCGAAACCGAAACTCGTAATATCATTCTAGAGAAAAGAAAATAGAGGACAGGAAGTAATTAAGACATGAGGAAATTGAAAAATATTCAACCAGTTGATGGTAGTGAAAAGAAAATTGGATAACGATAAATTAATAAACTAGAAATCTACAGGAACTTGAAAAAATATTGTAAATTCGGAAATAAAATGCTAATTTAAATGCACATGATTAACAAATAGAGCGTTGAATCTTCAAATAACACCACAGAAATTCTACAAAGCTGAAAATCTGTCATACTTGTTTGAAACGTATAAGTTTATCACCAAACTGTATGGGATGTATGAATGGCCCAAAAATCAGAAAATCCAATACTATGGATTGTGTTATTCCACAAATGTGATGAGGAGTTAAGATCACGGTGAGTCGACTGCATTATATTGTGTCTCTCCGTCTGACTGCATAGCTTCTTCCAATGTTACAAACCAGAAACATACACCCGCTCTCTCTTAAATGCGTTCTTATATCATATCATAATATTTCACACAGGTGTTTGCAACATTCCCGCTGAATGTAAGGTAAATTTACATGAAAATCAGTCTACAAATATTTCAGATACCAACAAATTGTTGGCAAACAATCTCTGATTCACCATTAATTTAACGGCTTCATCAGTGAATTGCCTTGCACAGCTGGGTGCTTTCAAATATCTTTGCAAAAAAACTTCGAAGCATCGAACCTCTGACAAACCCATCATGAATGTAATATACTGTTTCTAATGTACATGTGATATTTGAATTGCCCCATATTCAGTAATTCCTACTACACAGATTGTGTCATTCCATTAATATGATGTCATGTTGCGTTGACTGCATGGCTTGTCGAATGACACGCAAGTAGTTTTCATCATTTCAATAACAGCATTACGTGCTCTACTTACTACCACTCATCTACGTCCTATGAATTCTTCACCGTGAGAACTTAATTTTCTCCGTTTATGATTTGTCGCATGTTAGTTTCAGTCAGTGGATGTGTATTGCTGTCAATCTTTTTTGAAATATCAATAAACGGATCTATTCGAGTAAATATTACTAGTAACCATATTTAAAACTTACCTTTTTTATTCTTCATAACTAACGATTCATTAATAATTAATAATTTATCAAAGATTTTAGCAAAGTCAAGCAACTGTTTTTATGATTCAAGAAGAAATTATCGTCTATAACAGTCAATAAGGGATGACACGCGTGCTTTCACTAATATCTGACGTAAAACGTCGACGCATCTAAAGCCTGACTAACCCATCTTAAATAAAATATTTTATCACCAATGTGAATTTGATATTTGAATTGCCCCATAGTCAGTAATTCCTACTACTACACAGATTGTGTCATTCCACAAATGTGATGATTTGACTTCGACAAGATCTCATACGATATTGATTGGTAGCGCGATCATGGTGAGTCACCTGCATCACAATGTGTCTTTCAATCTGACTGCATAGATTATGAGATGGTGGAGAAAATTTGTAGCTCAGGTGGATGATTGTGGTGGTGTTTCGTTCTCTGAGCTGGTTGTTTTGGTTGTGGAGCTTTCATTGTTCTTCTGAACAACATCATCAGCACGAACTTCAGATAGATTATTTCACTTCATTTCAACACACAAATAAACCTACACTCGCATCAATATTTTACTTTCATTCAAGTCGAATTTCTTGACTGACTTTGGAAATTTGTGGGCCGGTGATATTTACAATCTCTTCTAGTGCACAGTCAGGAAAGCTTATTGTGAAACTTATCAAAAGTTTTTTAGGAAATAAAACCTGTTTACAGTATAAGTTCGACCCACCTATCTGTTCATACTCATCAAAGACTAAATTAGAAAAATTGAAAGCAATTATCGAGTAAATACACGTACAAGCAATATCAGATAGAGTTATCATCTGAGTTTCTGAATGAAGTTGATGTTACTAGAAATCATTGCTCGTACTCAGATGCTTGGTGTCAACCAACTAGGGCGAAATACTTATGATATTGCACAAATATTTCACTTATCTAGATTATATTATCCTGATCACTCAACTGAATGTGATGAAGGTGCAACCTTACAATAGAAACATCGTACTCTATCGATTGAGTCAGTCCATGAAATCCATGTTGTGATTTCGACTCGGAATCACACAGATTGTTTTGTGGTCACGTCATGTTGTGTTGACTGCATGGCTTGTCGAATGACACGCAAGTAGTTTACATCATTTCAATAACAGCATTACGTGCTCTACTTACTATCACTCATCTACGTCCTATGAATTCTTCACCGTGAGAACTTAATTTTCTCCGTTTATGATTTGCCACATGGTATTTTCAATGAGTCGATGTGTGTCGTTGTTAATCATTTTTGGATGAATAAAGACAAATCAATTGGACTTAATATTTCTCTAAAGTTAATGTGTTACTTACATTTTATCGCCTCATTGGCTAGCGATAGACATATTGCAAAGGAAAACCGATATGAAAATATTTCACATTTTTGAAAAGTCATAACGCAATATTTAATATTCGTCATGAAATAATCAGCTTCTCAAATGAATCGGCACTCATAGCTACGTGCTTTCAACGATGTGTGCCGAAATACTTCGACGCCTCTAACATCTGCCGAACTTATCTTAAATAATATATTTTATCACCAATGTGAATTTGATATTTGAATTGCCCCATAGTCAGTAATTCCTACTACTACACAGATTGTGTCATTCCACAAATGTGATGATTTGACTTCGACAAGATGTCATACATATTGATTGGTAGCAAGATCATGGTGAGTCACCTGCATCACACTGTGTCTTTCAATCTGACTACATAGATTATTCCACTTCATTTCAACACACAAATAAACCTACACTCGCATCAATATTTTACTTTCATTCAACTCGAATTTCTTGACTGGATTTGGAAATTTGTGGGCCGGTGATATTTACAATCTCTTCTAGTGCATAGTCATCAAGCATATTTGTGTGATTATTCGATAATGTGTAAGGCTCAAAAATTCATTAGAGTATGAAAATGACCTACCCATATGCAAACGACGTTTTGCATCTGACAAAATTCAAAACGAAAGGTTTTAACAAATAAATTCTTTGTATAAGCATTATCAAATGGAATGATCATTTGTGTTTCTGAATGTAATTGATGTTACTAGAAATCATTGCTCGTACTCAGATGCTTGGTGTCAACCAACTAGGGCGAAATACTTATGATATTGCACAAATATTTCACTTATCTAGATTATATTATCCTGATCACTCAACTGAATGTGATGAAGGTGCAACCTTACAATAGAAACATCGTACTCTATCGATTGAATCATTCCATGAAATCCATGTTGTGATTTCGACACGGAATCACACAGATTGTTTTGTGGTCACGTCATGTTGTGTTGACTGCATGGCTTGTCGAATGACACGCAAGTAGTTTTCATCATTTCAATAACAGCATTACGTGCTCTACTTACTACCACTCATCTACGTCCTATGAATTCTTCACCGTGAGAACTTAATTTTCTCCGTTTATGATTTGTCGCATGTTAGTTTCAGTCAGTGGATGTGTATTGCTGTCAATCTTTTTTGAAATATCAATAAACGGATCTATTCGAGTAAATATTACTAGTAACCATATTTAAAACTTACCTTTTTTATTCTTCATAACTAACGATTCATTAATAATTAATAATTTATCAAAGATTTTAGCAAAGTCAAGCCACTGTTTTTATGATTCAAGAAGAAATTATCGTCTATAACAGTCCCTTATATCTGCCGTAAAACGTCGACGCATCTAAAGCCTGACTAACCCATCTTAAATAAAATATTTTATCACCAATGTGAATTTGATATTTGAATTGCCCCATAGTCAGTAATTCCTACTACTACACAGATTGTGTCATTCCACAAATGTGATGATTTGACTTCGACAAGATGTCATACATATTGATTGGTAGCGCGATCATGGTGAGTCACCTGCATCACACTGTGTCTTTCAATCTGACTACATAGATTATTTCACTTCATTTCAACACACAAATAAACCTACACTCGCATCAATATTTTACTTTCATTCAACTCGAATTTCTTGACTGGATTTGGAAATTTGTGGGCCGGTGATATTTACAATCTCTTCTAGTGCATAGTCATGAAGCATATTTGTGTGATTATTCGATAATGTGTAAAGCGAAACAATTCATTAGAGTATGAAAATGACCTACGCTTTTCCAAACGACTTTTTCCCGCTGACAAAATTCAAAACGAAAGGTTTTAACAAATAAATTCTTTGTATAAGCATTATCAAATGGAATGATCATTTGTGTTTCTGAATGTAATTGATGTTACTAGAAATCATTGTTCATACTCAGATGCTTGGTGTCAACCAACTAGGGCGAAATACTTATGATATTGCACAAATATTTCACTTATCTAGATTATATTATCCTGATCATTCAACTGAATGTGATGAAGGTGCAACCTTACAATAGAAACATCGTACTCTATCGATTGAATCATTCCATGAAATCCATGTTGTGATTTCGACACGGAATCACACAGATTGTTTTGTGGTCACGTCATGTTGTGTTGACTGCATGGCTTGTCGAATGACACGCAAGTAGTTTTCATCATTTCAATAACAGCATTACGTGCTCTACTTACTACCACTCATCTACGTCCTATGAATTCTTCACCGTGAGAACTTAATTTTCTCCGTTTATGATTTGTCGCATGTTAGTTTCAATGAGTCGATGTGTGTCGTTGTTAATCATTTTTGGATGAATAAAGACAAATCAACTGGACCTAATATTTCTCGTAAGTTAATGTGTTACTCACTCTTTATCACCTCTTCGGCTAGCACTAGAGAAATAGCATAGGAAAACCTGTATGAGAATATTTCCCGGAAAATATGATTTGTCATGAAATAATCAGCTTCTTAATTGAATAAACACCTGCATTCAACGATGTCTTTCAAAATTTTTCGACAGCTCTAACGCCTGACCAACTCATCCTAAATAATATACTTTATCAACAATGTGAATGTGACATTTAGGATTTGCATGTATGAATCCATCGTTTGCGTAAGGCACCGAATGAATAGTGTCAAGTTCAGTGTGCTTTGACAGCATGACATCCTACAGTCTGACTGCATAGGTATTTTCAATGTTACTTTCAGTAGTTATACATTTTAAATTTCATTAATAGTTTACTTTGTTTCAATTTGAATGTTACAACCCTTATTCGAAATCTTAATGCCTATGCAATAAGATATTGTTCTAATCGTGTGTAATAAACTTATCGTAAGTTTTATACAAACATAAAAATTCGTAACTTACCATCTCTTATCTTTCCATCAGATTCTGAAATGTATTCAAATTGAAAATCATTATCAAGTTATTTTTACGTATAAGCAAGATCAGATGGTATTATCCTCTGTGATTGATGTTACTAGAAATTATTCTACACACTGAAATGATTGCTCACAACCAACTACAGTGAAATTCACTCCACAATACATGACTATTTTGCTAATCTGAAATAAATAATTTTTGCACCTTCTTGAATGAGTATGTCGAACAACTTCGCATTCACAGATTTCGTCTGTCTCAATTACGTCAGACCACTGATTTGAATAACTGACTTCAACGTGCTATTCTACAGAATATATTTTAGTCACATCATTTTGAGTTGACTGCAGGGAACCTTGAATAAAACTCGATCAAATTACTCCATTTGTCTAACAACATTACTTCTAATACCTAATAACTATCATCTGCATTATAAGAATTCAATTTTCTCTCATCATATTTTGACATATGCTAGTTTCAATCAGTCGATATGTATTGCTATTAATTTATGTTAGAAAAACGAGAGGTTTAATTATTCGCAAACGTATTACATTGAATCTAATGTCATACGTACCCGTCTCTTGTGATTTCGCTTAAGATGGAATGAAAATAATTTGAAACCAGTATGAAATTATTTCAGATTTCAGCAAAATCATACCACAGAATCTGTGATTCACCATGAAATTGTCGTCTACCTCACTGAGTAGGCAACCACAACTGCGTGCTTTCAACCATCTCATCGGAAATACTTTAACAATCCTAATATCTGTGAAACTCATCTAATAGGTACGATTCTATTACCAAGGACAATACAATCAGCCGACCTGACTCCATCGATTTTGTCAATCAGTCAATGCGTGATGTGCTTTCTACATGATATCATATAGATTTATTAGTACTCAGATCAAGATGATTCAATTTCATTTGATTGTTTCTGTTTCAGTCTGAATGCATAGATTATTCCAATATTAATATCAGCAGATATACGCTCAATGTCTCACGGAGGATCTCCTTTGTTTTCACATGAAAGTTAGAAATTCCTATAGAAATCTATATGTTTATGTAATTTCGAATATTCGTATAGCATAATGATTAGTGCAAATTCGATAGTATATGATATATTAGGTGACAGATAATATTCTATGAAAAATTTTCTTCAAAATACCAATAGCGAAATTATTTCTTAATTCTAACAAACTTTATAACCAACAAGTAATTTTAATTATTAGTGAAATCAGAAGGAATTATCATTTATGATTCACTATGTAAGTGATCTAAAGAGAAGCCAAACTGATTCCACAGATAGTGTCATTAGGCGAATAATGTCTGATGTGACTTCGTAGTGAAATCACACAGATTCATCGGTTGTCAGATCATGATCTGTCCAATATATTAGTTTGTGTATTTTAGTCTGGCTGCACAGAATATTCCATCGCATTGCGATAGATATGCGCCTGAGATAGTGTAAATATTTTTGGTTGTTTGAACTGAATTTTTCGGACTTGCTTTGAAAATCTGAAGAAGAATGCGATTTGTAGTCTACCTTTGCTCTTATTCATGAATGATTATATGGAAAATAATTGTCAGTTTATTCGAAAATAAAAGTTAAATATAAATGTTTGTTAATCTACCTATGTCAAGATTATTTTGCGCCCCTGAAAAGTATTCAAATGGAAAATCATTATCAAGAAATTTTACTTATAATCGAAATCAGACGGCATTATCATCTGTGATTCACTGTGTAGACGATGTAACTGGAAGTTATTGTACACAATCAGGTGCTTGATCTCAACTAACATGCGTGAAGTGTATTTGACTTCTAACAAATGTTTTACTATTCTGAACTGTATAATTCCTGCACCATGCGTAATGAGTATTTCGAACGGCATCACTTCAACGATTTCGACTGTAACTAGTCTGTCAGTTGACGAATTCGAAGATTTGATTTCGAATGTATATCATACCGATTCTTTTGCAGTGACATTATGTTGAGTTGATTGCATGGAACGTTGAATATCAATCAAGCAACTTTCACCATTTGACTAACAACATAAGTTGTTATACCTAATACCACTCATCTGCATTTTACGAATTCTTCACCATACAAACTCAACTTTCTTCGATAATATTTTGGCGTGTGCTAGTTACAGTCAATCGAATTTTATTGTTGACAATCAACATTGGAATAAAGTGGATAGTAATTTTAAAATAAGTGATGATTCGAAATTATTTATTACTCACCTTGTACTCGCTGTTCAGCTAAAAATGGAGAAATATAAATTGAGAATCAGTATGAACATATTGTCGAATTTAGAAGAGTCATACCACCGAATCTGTTATTCACCGTGAAATGATCAGCCTCTTCAATTGTTCGATAACCACGACTGCCTGATCTCAAACATCTCTGACGAACTTATTCAACGCTGTAAACCTCTGTCTAACTCTTCCTAAACGTATGATTCTATCACCTCCTTCAATATGATATTGCAACTGTCCTTATTGCACACAGGTTGACTACATCGATTGTGTCAGTCAGCGAATGTTTGATGTGACTTCGAAGTGAAATCACACAGATTCATCGGTTGTCAGATCATGATCTGTCCAATATATTAGTTTGTGTATTTTAGTCTGGCTGCACAGAATATTCCATCGCATTGCGATAGATATGCGCCTGAGATAGTGTAAATATGTTTGGTTGTTTGAACTGAATTTTTCGGACTTGCTTTGAAAATCTGAAGCAGAATGCGATTTGTAGTCTACCTTTGCTCTTATTCATGAATGATTATATGGAAAATAATTGTCAGTTTATTCGAAAATAAAAGTTTCACATTTAATTTGGTCAAACTACCATTTGTGATTTCATCTTTAAAACCTGAAAAGTATTCAAATGGAAAATCATTATGAAGAAATTTCACGCATTAGCGAAATCAGATGGTATGATCATTTGTGATTCACTATGTAAGCGATGTAACTAGAAGTTATTTTGCAGTAATTCTTTTGCAGTGACATCATGTTGAGTCAACTGCATAGTATTTCGATCAACAGTATTTCATTAGTAACTATTTTGACGAAAATCAATGCTTAGTCTACTGATAACCTGTCATCTACATTTAACTAATTCTTTAGTATAAGACCTCAGTTTTCTGATCATTGTATTCGGCTTATGTTAGTTTCAATCAGTTGATATGTATCGTTTGAAATTCATGTATTGAAATATTGAACACAGAAGCATTCGAAAAACTCATACCATGAACACAAGGTAGTACTTACGCTTTATATTTGTATTTGCTATCAACGGAGAAGTAGCAAATAAAAAACAGCATGAAAATATTTTGGATTTCAGGAAATCATACCACAGAATCTGTGATTCACCATGAAATGGTCAGCTTATTCACAGAATGGGCCACCACATTTGCTTACTATTAGCCAAATCTACCAAAAAACTTCGACGGCCCTCACATCTCTCCAAAATAATCTGAAATGTATGATTCTATCACCTGATTGAATATGATAATCAAACTATCCTAAATACAGCCAACCTGATTCCATAGATTGTGCCATTAGGAAAATGTTTGATGTGCCTTCGACGTGAAATCAAACAGATTGATTAGTAGTCACATTATGATGAGTCAACTGCATAGGCATATGTATATCAGGCTGACTTCAAAGAATATATTATTGCTATCAACCACAGTCATGTATTTATTCGTTCATGAAAACATTGCTTTCTTTCAAAATGAACGTGTACACCAATACTTTTTATACAGAAAGCCTAAATTAATGAAATAACTTGAGTGAAATGAACATGTTTGCATATTACAAAATTTTTATTAGATTACCAAAAATGTGAAAATTCAAGAAAACGTGCTTAACGTACATGCTACAATATCATTAAGTGCATCTAACATAAAATAAAAATGAAAATAAACATCAAGTTACAGTGCCTAATAGCGAAATTAAATGGTATTATGATTTGAGATTCACTATGTAGATGATGTAACTGGAAGTTATTGTACACAATCAGGTGCTTGATCTCAACCAACATGCGTGAAGTGTATTTGACTTCTAACAAATGTTTTACTATTCTGAACTGTATAATTCCTGCACCATGCGTAATGAGTATTTCGAACGGCATCACTTCAACGATTTCGACTGTAACCAGTCTGTCAGTTGACGAATTCGAAGATTTGATTTCGAATGTATATCATACCGATTCTTTTGCAGTGACATTATGTTGAGTTGATTGCATGGAACGTTGAATATCAATCAAGCAACTTTCACCATTTGACTAACAACATAAGTTGTTATACCTAATACCACTCATCTGCATTTTACGAATTCTTCACCATACAAACTCAACTTTCTTCGATAATATTTTGGTGTGTGCTAGTTACAGTCAATCGAATTTTATTGTTGACAATCAACATTGGAATAAAGTGGATAGTAATTTTAAAATAAGTGATGATTCGAAATTATTTATTACTCACCTTGTACTCGCTGTTCAGCTAAAAATGGAGAAATATAAATTGAGAATCAGTATGAAAATATTGTCGAATTTAGAAGAGTCATACCACCGAATCTGTTATTCACCGTGAAATGATCAGCCTCTTCAATTGTTCGATAACAACGACTGCCTGATCTCAAACATCTTTGACGAACTTATTCAACAATGTAAACCTCTGTCTAACTCTTCCTCAACGTATGATTCTATCACCTCCTTCAATATGATATTGCAACTGTCCTTATTGCAGACAGGTTGACTACATCGATTGTGTCAGTCAGCGAATGTTTGATGTGACTTTGAAGTGAAATCACACAGATTCATTGGTTGTCAGATCATGATCTGTCCAATATATTAGTTTGTGTATTTTAGTCTGGCTGCACAGAATATTCCATCGCATTGCGATAGATATGCGCCTGAGATAGTGTAAATATTTTTGGTTGTTTGAACTGAATTTTTCGGACTTGCTTTGAAAATCTGAAGAAGAATGCGATTTGTAGTCTACCTTTGCTCTTATTCATGAATGATTATATGGAAAATAATTGTCAGTTTATTCGAAAATAAAAGTTAAATATAAATGTTTGTTAATCTACCTATGTCAAGATTATTTTGCGCCCCTGAAAAGTATTCAAATGGAAAATCATTATCAAGAAATTTTACTTATAATCGAAATCAGACGGCATTATCATCTGTGATTCACTGTGTAGACGATGTAACTGGATGTTATTGAACACAATCGGATACTTGCTCTCAACTAACATGCGTGAAGTGTATTTGACTCCTAACAAATGTTTTACTATTCTGAACTGTATAATTCTTGCAGCGTGCGTAATGAGTATTTCGAACAGCATCACTTCAACGATTACGACTTTAACAAATTCGAATATTTGACTTCGAATGTATATCATACCGATTCTTTTGCAGTGACATCATGTTGAGTTGATTGCATGGAACTTTGAACATCAATCAAGCAACTTTCACCATTTGACTGACAACATATTTTGTTATACCTAATACCACTCATCTGCATTTTACGAATTCTTCATCATGCAAACTCAACTGTCTTCGATATTATTTTGGCGTATGCTTGTTTGAATTAATCGATGTGTGTTGTGGTTAATTCATGTATCAAATATTGGAATACGGAACTATTCGTACAAATTTTAATATCGGTATAATTTGGCACTTACGCTTTTCCTGTTCTTTCACTGAATATTATATAATCTCAGATGCTAACCATGTTGAATGTATTTTATATTTTTCAAACATCATACCACTGAATCTTTGATTCATCATGAAACGTTTAGCCTCTTCAATTGTTCGATAACCACGACTGTCTGATGTCAAACATCTCTGACGAACTTAGTTAACGCTCTTAACATCTGTCCCTCTCATCCTAAATGTATGATAATCCACCACTTCATTGAATATAATATTGAAACTGTCCTAAATGCAGACAAGTTGACTACATTAATTGTGTCAGTCAGCGAATGTCTGATGTGACTAGGACATGAAATCACACAGATTGATTTGTAGTCAGATTTTAACGTGTCGATTGCATTAGATTGTGTCTTTCACTCTGAATGCATAGATTATTTCAAGTTACGCTAGACAGTGATATGTAAACAATCCTTAAAGAATGTTATACATGCATTTCGCTCTATTTCCCTAATTTTCTCTTGAACTAAACATTTCTATGCAATCAACAGTCACTTGTTTCCTATGGTCGAAACATCACGATAAGTTGACTGCACTAGATTGTGTCTTTCAGTCTAACTGCAAAGATTATTCCAATGTTATTAATCGCAGATCTATACATTATCTCTCGTGAACATTTTCATTTGTTGTGTAAGTATATGTTTATGTTGAAATTGAGTTACGTATGGAATCCACAATTACTGATTGTGCATAGTCGTGGATATATATCGTCAAACTAGCGATAAATTTATTCGGACATAAAAGATCAAAATAAGATATGATTAAATTACTATGATTAAGATATTCTCTCGCATCTGAAATGTATTCAAATTGAAAATCATTATCAAGTTATTTTACATATTAGCGAAATCAGCTAGTATTATCATCACTGATTCACTATGTAATTTTTGGTTCTAGAAATCATTGAACACACCCAGATGCTTGGTCTCGACCAACATGGGCGAACTATACATGATTCATTACAAATGTTTTACTATTCTGAACTGTATAATTCTTGCACCATGCGTAATGTGTATTTCGAACAGCCTCACATCAATGATTTCGACTGTAACCAGTCTGTCAGTTGACGAATTCGAAGATTTGACTTCGAATGTATATCATACCAATTCTTTTGCAGTGACATCATGTTGAGTTGATTGCATGGAACGTTGAATATCAATCAAGCAACTTTCACCATTTGACTGACAACATATGTTGTTATACCTAATACCACTCATCTGCATTTTTTCAAATTCTTCATCATACAAACCCAACTTTCTTCGATAATATTTTGGCGTATGGTAATTTAAGTAAGTCGAATTATTTTGTTAACAGTCAGCATGGTAATTAGGAGGATAGATATTTTCGAATATATATAGCTTCAAAATTAATTATGACTCACATGATTCTTCAATTTTTGCTAACAATTGTGCACATGAAATAATAATCAGTATGAAAATATTGTCGAATTTAGAAGAGTCATACCACCGAATCTGTTATTCACCGTGAAATGATCAGCCTCTTCAATTGTTCGATAACAACGACTGCCTGATCTCAAACATCTATGACGAACTTATTCAACAATGTAAACCTCTGTCTAACTCTTCCTCAACGTATGATTCTATCACCTCCTTCAATATGATATTGCAACTGTCCTTATTGCACACAGGTTGACTACATCGATTGTGTCAGTCAGCGAATGTCTGATGTGACTTCGAAGTGAAATCACACAGATTTATCGGTTGTCAGATCATGATCTGTCCAATATATTAGTTTGTGTATTTTAGTCTGGCTGCACAGAATATTCCATCGCATTGCGATAGATATGCGCCTGAGATAGTGTAAATATTTTTGGTTGTTTGAACTGAATTTTTCGGACTTGCTTTGAAAATCTGAAGCAGAATGCGATTTGTAGTCTACCTTTGCTCTTATTCATGAATGATTATATGGAAAATAATTGTCAGTTTATTCGAAAATAAAAGTTAAATATAAATGTTTGTTAATCTACCTATGTCAAGATTATTTTGCGCCCCTGAAAAGTATTCAAATCGAAAATCATTATCAAGAAATTTTACTTATAATCAAAATCAGACAGCATTATTATCTATGATTCACTGTGTAGACGATGTAACTGGATGTTATTGAACACAATCGGATACTTGCTCTCAACTAACATTCGTGAAGTGTATTTGACTTCTAACAAATGTTTTACTATTCTGAACTGTATAATTCTTGCACCGTGCGTAATGAGTATTTCGAACAGCATCACTTCAACGATTTCGACTGTAACAAATTCGAAGGTTTGACTTCGAATGTATATCATACCAATTCTTTTGCAGTGACATCATGTTGAGTTGATTGCATGGAACTTTGAACATCAATCAAGCAACTTTCACCATTTGACTGACAACATATTTTGTTATACCTAATACCACTCATCTGCATTTTACGAATTCTTCATCATACAAACTCAACTTTCTTCGAGAATATTTTGGCGTGTGCTGGTTGCAGTCATTCGATTTCTTTAGTTGACAATCAACGTCGTATTAATTAGCATAAATGTTATGGAATAATTTCTGATTTGATATTAAATAATACTGACCTCTGATTTTCCTGTTTGCTGAAATGTTTGACAAATCAATTGAAAATAAGTATGGAAATATTGGGCGAATTTAGAAGAGTCATACCACCAAATCTGTGATTCACCGTGAAATGATCAGCCTCTTCAATTGTTCGATAACAACGACTGCCTGATCTCAAACATCTATGACGAACTTATTCAACAATGTAAACCTCTGTCTAACTCTTCCTCAACGTATGATTCTATCACCTCCTTCAATATGATATTGCAACTGTCCTTATTGCACACAGGTTGACTACATCGATTGTGTCAGTCAGCTAATATCTGATGTGACTTCGAAGTGAAATCACACAGATTTATCGGTTGTCAGATCATGATCTGTCCAATATATTAGTTTGTGTATTTTAGTCTGGCTGCACAGAATATTCCATCGCATTGCGATAGATATGCGCCTGAGATAGTGTAAATATTTTTGGTTGTTTGAACTGAATTTTTCGGACTTGCTTTGAAAATCTGAAGCAGAATGCGATTTGTAGTCTACCTTTGCTCTTATTCATGATTGATTTTATGGAAATTGTCTGTCATTTGTTACGGAATATGAAGTTTCATTTTCTTTCTTTTTGTATATTCAACCTACAAAATATCTCTTTATTAGAACTTTGGGTCAACTTTCGGTCTCCTGCCCGCCTTAATTAGGAGTTTTGGACAGTTTGTTTGCGACCATTTTCTGTCGAATACTAACTCGCCATAAATCGCTTACCAGAAAGACTAATTCAATCCATTTTAGCTCTGCCTTGAGAGTTGGAAGAAGAATTATGACGTCGCGTGATGAAAACCGAGTTTCCTCGGAAGTCACGGGGCCGATGCCTCTTCTGACAACCAGAGCAACTATTCTTTTAGGTACATGGAACGTTCGTACATTGTGGGAGACTGGAGGGCTATTTCAAGTTCAATAGAAATGAAAAGATACAACCTCGAGTTGCTCGGCATCAGTGAAACGAATTGGACACAGGTAGGACAACTGAGACTAGCTTCAGGAGAACCGCTGTTATACTCTGGTCATAAAGAGGAAAATGCTTCACATACACAAGGAGTTGCACTGATGCTGTCCAATCATGCACAAAAGGCACTGTTGGGATGGGAATCTCATGGACCCAGGATCATCAAAGCATCCTTTAAAACCAAGAAAGAGGACATTACAATGAACGTCATCTAGTGCTATGCACCTACCAATGACTACAATGACGACCTTAAGGATCGATTCCACGAAAGGCTGCATTCAATCGCCGACAGATGCTCACCGAGGGATTTGATGATTCTAATGGGAGACCTGAATGCTAAGGTTGGCATGGACAACACTGGATATGAAGACATCATGGGACGACATGGACTGACAGAAAGGAATGAAAACGGTGGGAGATTCGCAAACGTATGGGCCTTCAACTCACTGGTCATCGGTGGCACAATATTTCCGCACATACGCATTCACAAAGCCACATGGATTTCACCGGACGACACTACTCGAAACCGAATTGACCATATCTGTATCAACAAAACGTTCAGAAGGAGGATGTGAGAACCAAGAGAGTGGCTGATATAGAATCAGATCACCGCTTGTTGGTCACCAAAATGAAACTGGAGCTAAAGAAGCACTAGACAGCAGCACCAGACAACATCACACAATTTTAATACGGCCTTTCTTCTGGATACGGTAAAACTCAACGAATTCTTTATAGCCCTCACCAAGCGATTCCAGGCCTTTCAGGATCTACTCAATGAAGAGGAAGCAACTTTGAAGAACAACTGGAAAGGGATCAAGGAGCTAATCACTTCAACATGTCACGAAGTTCTGGTTCACATGAAGTAACACCACAAGGAATGGATCTCTGTTGGTATTCTTGCAAAAATTGAAGAAAGGGGGAACAAGAAGGCAGCAATCAATGTCAGGCGAACAAAAGCTGAGAAAGTTACCGCACAAGCTGCATACACAGAAGCAATCAGGGAAGTGAAGTAGAGCGTCAGAGCTGACAAATGAAAATATGTGGAATATCTAGCAATGACGGCGGAAAAGGCTGCAAGAGAAGGGAACTTGAGACAATTGTACGAAACAACAAAGGAGCTCGCCGAGGAGTATCGTAAACCCGAACGACCAGTGAAAAGTAAGGAAGACAAAGTAATCAGCAACACTGAAGAACAGCGAAATAGGTGGGTAGAGCAATTTAAGGAACTCTGGAATCAACCAGCTCCACTGAACACACCCAACATTCAAGCAGCATCCACGGACCTCTCAATAAGCAGTGGCGCACCTACAATTGAGGAGATCAGCATGGCCATCAGATAAATAAAGAGCGGCAAATCAGCAGGATTAGACAACTTTCCAGCTGATGCAATGAAAGCGGATTTAGAAGCAACTGCGAAAATATTTCACATTCTGATCAACAGGATTTTGGATGATGATCAAGTACTACTAGATTGGAAAGAAGGATATCTGATCAAAATACCAAAGAAAAGCGATCTCATCAAATGTGAGATCTCATCAGAGGCATCACTCTTCTTTCAATACCAAGCAATGAATGAAGGATTTCTTAGACCTCCAAATTCGAGATCAACAGGCTGGATTTCGTAAGGATGGCGAAGCGCGGATCAACAAAGCAAGGGCTACATTACTACAGTTGAAAAATATCTGGAACTCCTGACAACTTCCAATCAAAACGAAAATCATGATTTTCAAGAACATCATAGCTGACAAACGAAAATATGTAGAAGATCTAGTAATGACGGCGGAAAAGGCTGCAAGAGAAGGGAACTTGAGACAATTGTACGAAACAACAAAGGAGCTCGCCGAGGAGTATCGTAAACCCGAACGACCAGTGAAAAGTAAGGAAGACAAAGTAATCAGCAACACTGAAGAACAGCGAAATAGGTGGGTAGAGCACTTTAAGCTGAAAAACTAGTTTGGGGTGAAGACCGATGTGAGGCAAGGTTGCTTACTCTCACCCTTTCTCTTTCTCCTGGTCATCGACTGGATTATGAAGACGTCGACATCTGCAGGGAAGCACGGTATCATTTAGACAGTTAGGACGCAGCTGGACGATCTGGACTTCGCAGATGACTTGGCTCTTCTATCGCACACGCAAAAACAAATGAAAGAGAAGACGACCAGTGTAGCAGCAGCCTCAGAAGCATCAGGTCTCAACGAGAAAGGTGGATCCGATGCAGATGTGAGTGTGCGGATTGGCAAAGCAAGGGATGAATTTCTACAGTTGGAAAATATCTGGAACTCCAAACAACTTTCAAACAAAACCAAAATAAGGATTTTTAATACAAATGTGAAGACAGTTCTACTGTATGGAGCGGAAACCTGGAGAACTACCAAAGCCATCATGCATAAGATACAAGTGTTTATTAACAGCTGTCTACGCAAAATACTTCGGATTCGTTGGTCAGACACCATCAGCAACAACGTACTATGGGAGAGAACAATCCAGATATTAGTGGAGGAAATCAGGAAGAAGCGGTGGAAGTGGATAGGACACATATTGCGGAAAGCACCTAACTGCGTTACGAGACAAGCCTTCACATGGAACCCTCAAGGCAAAAGGAAAAGCGGAAGGCCAAAGAACAAACTACGCCGAGAAATAGAGAAAGATATGAGAGGAGTGAACAAACATTGGACAGAATTTGAGAAGGAAGCCCAGGACAGAGTTGGTTGTAGAAAAATGGTGGGCGGCCTATGCTCCATTGAGGGTAACAGGCGTAAGTAAGTAAGTAAGTAAGTAAGTAAGTAAGTAAGTAAGTAAGTAAGTAAGTAAGTAAGTAAGTAAGTAAGTAAGTAAGTAAGTAAGTAAGTAAGTAAGTAAGTAAGTAAGTAAGTAAGTAAGTAAGTAAGTAAGTAAGTAAGTAAGTAAGTAAGTAAGTAAGTAAGTAAGTAAGTAAGTAAGTAAGTAAGTAAGTAAGTAAGTAAGTAAGTAAGTAAGTAAGTAAGTAAGTAAGTAAGTAAGTAAGTAAGTAAGTAAGTAAGTAAGTAAGTACGTAAGTAATCCTTCACAATGTAATAGGATTTTCGCATCAATTTAATGACTTATTTTTTCTTGAATACGGAGGTAATTCGCAAATCCAGATGCGCCTAAGTGACTATTGTATACTTATTCGTTTACTTTTGTGTTTCGTTTTTTTCAATCTCTTCAATCATTTTCATCGCTTTTTAAGCATGTGTTCGTGTTTACTTTTTTGAAAATATATGCTCGTATAATATAAGATCCCAAAATAATATTTTTTCCGCGTTTTAATTTATATGTATTTATACTCAGTTCGTGATTGTCTGTTTGTATAGGTCCTAAATCTCATTATGTTGGTTTTCCCCTCATATACTGCTCAGTTATTTTCGTGAATTAAATGTTTCTGACATTGTTTCAGCTCTCAGGCGATTACTACCTAATCCCAGTGCATAATCGTTTAACTGTCTCTAGCAAGTCTCATACGTTTACTACTCTAACGGCGATTGCATCTCCAAGAAAGTGTGCTTTTCAAGTTTATTCGTATTTACATATTTACATATTCAGCTAAAATTGCTCATAATGTTCATGCTACATGCTACGTCTATCTAAAGAATCTATAACCTATAACAAGCCGTTTTGTTATGCTCAGCAGAGATGAGTGGCTTTTTCATCGTTATTCTAAATATCAAGGTCTATGCACTTCAGGACAATTATCCAGTAATTAGCTCAGTCAATTTTCATTCACAATAAATTATCCAAACCAATTATAATTTGCATCCTTTCGCTGAACAACAGATAACGCACTTGTAATACATATTCAATCTTTTAAACGAGGCTTTAATAAACTAGACTTAATGTCCTGATAAAAGCACTTATCATTACTTATCAACATAATACAAAAAAAACCATAAAATTCATACTCATACTAATCTGAAACGTTTGATGAATTCCTAGATGTACATGAACTATTGGATGAGACAATGATATTTCTATTTTCGCCTATCATCTTTTGAGATTACCAGCTGAACTGGATATCTAAAACTTTAGTCTGTTTGCATTGGACCTAAAACAACATAATGTGATATCGCATTAAAAGTGTTGATACTGTTTTCAGAAAAATAGCATCAAATAAAAAGTCACGAGAAACCATACATCAAAAATATTCTACTTACGTAGTTCCTCAAGTTGAACGTAGATGGCGAACGTGGCAATGATGACCAACGAAATAAAAAATTTTGTCATTGTCAGTTTGATAAATGAGTTGATTTGCTGATTGAAGAATGATTTTTTTTGCTGAAAACTTATCTATATATAGTTTAGATTAGTTGATCATGGTCATATATAATTGGATGTAAAGAATAGCACCAATTAAATGAATTAGATAGAAACAATCCAATCAATGTTAAGATATTTTCTAACTAAAATCAAATGAGACACATTCATAGTTTATCAAATGATTGGTGTATTTCATCATCTACCCAAACATAATCATTGAAAGTGTACACATGAGATGGAACGACAAACATATTATTGTACACTTGACACTAGAAACAACTTTGTGGATTGTTCGTGAAAGAGGGGCAAAAATTAATAGTGTTTCCATCAGAATTAGTTTTAATTAGAATGACAATCAAAAGAATATACATGGTTGAAGCGATAAACATAGAAGTGAGAGCAACAGTTGAGGTATTTGTATAATATGCTGGAGCGATAGAATGAATATTAGCAGTAGTAGTAGCACCAGCATAAATTTTGATTATCAACCCCATCATAATAATTAAATTGATAGATAACACACATATGTTGACAGAAGTATTAAGTCCGAAAACTTTAGATAATAAGGCTTCATTACATTCAGCAAGCATAGTGTAAAAATCAAATAATAGACCCTGATAATAATAACGTCCAAAAAATATGAAAATGTAGGGAGTGACTGAAAAAAATTTACCGCAAAAAAAAAAAAGAGAATCTCGTCAAAATTACCGGGGAAAAAATCGTGCGGTTAACAAATTATAGATTTGCACTGGTTCCTTCATCAACAACGTATAAATGTACTGACATTCAGAATATATCAAAAATAAATTATCACTCTCTTCAAACATACATGTGAGCATGGCAGTTTCGTTTACTGAGTGTTGAAGCTTGGTGTGCGCGGAAACTGAATCCGATGAATGAACGTAAATGAGTCTAAAAGCCTTCGTGCAATCTGTCCAAAAATGAAAGGAAATCCGCTGTTAATTTATGCAAAGCATTATCCAGATAGCACAAGAACGAAACCTCCAGCCGAATAGCATCAACCTACTTATTCCTTGCATTCGCTATCACAGAGTAACAACAGTGGTAATCATCCAATGGACAACAACATTCATAATAGGAATAATGACATTGATTGTTGGCAATGTGGACTTGTGTGGTATAACCTAATTCGAAAGCATCTCATATGTAAGCATGATTCTTGTGCGTACTGTTTAATTATGCCTCACGACGTGATGTGTAATTGATACAAATCTGAAATTCGCGACTGACCAAATCAACTGCTACCAGCAATTTGAAATGATGGAGAAGACTTGCGGATCACGTGAATGCTTCTGGTGACATTGTATTCTGTGCATAAGTTTTTGTGATGCCGTTTCGCACACACAACACAACATGGCCAAACAACTCTCAGTGCTGTGTGTTTTTTCTGACATGGATGTGGTGAGAGTGAAACAGTTTATTCTCAGCTTCAAATTGTGGAACGGAATCTAGAATTGCAGGACAATGGACATTCCCGTAGTCTCTCAAATTCGCATATGCACTGTTTCTACAAACCAAATTGCCGACCTGATGTAACACGCATACAAAATCACTATATTCCCTCAGTCTCTCATGAATCAATGTAACTGGTCTCATTTTCATCGGAACAAGCATCACACACGGTAGAATGATATTTCTTCCTGACCATTGTTGTGTGAGCTACTTATAAGTAGTATATGACATGAGTGTCAACGTAATGACTGGCAGCGGAAGATGGGGGAAGATCAAGAAAGGAAGAGTTAGAAGAACACAATGGAATTTGTATGAAACGCATGAATAGTGACATTGGATTGATGCTTTGCAACAGGAACATTCCAGTTTGATATGATGAACTGTTATTTTGCAAATGAACGATTTACGATATGGTTTTCCAATTTTACTGAGTAACTCTGTAATTTTCGTTAAATACAATTCGGTTGCCCCACCTGTGTTCTATTTAACTACACCATAACAATCAGCTGGCCAGCCTGCTCACACTGCAATTACTTCATTAGTAGTGATATGAATGACACTCACAAATAAGAGTACATCATGCCATTTTCACAAAAATACGCATAATTTAATTAGAAAACCGGAACCTAATGAGGTCAACAGAAAGTGAAAAAACCAAAGGAATTTAGAAGAAACAACAACAGATCTGAAAGAGAAAACGAGATGAGTATTTAGTTTATTTGAGTGCAGTCTGTTGGAAAGAACACTGAAGAGTGATCACTTCACCGACTGTTGCGAGAATTGTTAGGATGTGTGTTTCGACATTACGCGTAAACTAGTTGAAGTGAAGCGAAATTTCCAATTGGTGAGATCGGTGTCTGCAATGACTGACGGATGACGTAATGTGCATCTCAGTAGGTAAAGCACTGGTTGTTTGTAGTAATAACCGGACTGTGTATTCCAATGTGCACTAAACAATAATGTACACCACATCATCAGGTGAATGAAACTGTTGATAAATGAAATGCGTTCTGATAGATTTCGGATTGTTTTATCTGTCCGAAAGGCAACAGTACCTGTAGTGCTTGCCAGATCGTCAGTTATTGCAATAGTATAAGAAGTGGTAGCATTGAAGTTTGTCACGGGCATGTAGTAATTTACTCATGGAAAATTGAGGCAAATAAGTTATTCAGATGGTGATTTGTTTCACTGTCTCCCTACAATTCATTTGAATTACTCAAGCATTGCTCACCACCGATTTGTTGCACTACACTTTCCAGTGTGTTGGGCAAGTGAGTTTCATTCCATGAAACCTGTTCACCGTTGACACTGATTTGGACGTCGCAACCAGAGGTCAGTTCACTGCATTTTCTCGTATGCGTTTTTCAAGCTGATCAGTATTAGGCACACAGTAGGTTTGTCTATAACGAGAAAAATAATTTAGCCACTGTCATTTGTTCGGAATGAATCATCATGTTATTGAGTAGTACAGACCAGTCTATTCCTGATAAATAAGCAATAACCTGCAATCAAAATGTTTATTACTTGTTGCAAAGTCATTCTCGTTGCCAAAATTGTTCGACCACTTGGATTGCATTGTTCGCAGTTTTCTAAACAACAAAGTTCATCCATCGAATTCTGTGATTATTTGCAATTCTGTTATTTTATGCAAAGCATTATCCAGATAGCACAAGAACGAAACCTCCAGCCGAATAGCATCAACCTACTTATTCCTTGCATTCGCTATCACAGAGTAACAACAGTGGTAATCATCCAATGGACAACAACATTCATAATAGGAATAATGACATTGATTGTTGGCAATGTGGACTTGTGTGGTATAACCTAATTCGAAAGCATCTCATATGTAAGCATGATTCTTGTGCGTACTGTTTAATTATGCCTCACGACGTGATGTGTAATTGATACAAATCTGAAATTCGCGACTGACCAAATCAACTGCTACCAGCAATTTGAAATGATGGAGAAGACTTGCGGATCACGTGAATGCTTCTGGTGACATTGTATTCTGTGCATAAGTTATTGTGATGCCGTTTCGCACACACAACACAACATGGCCAAACAACTCTCAGTGCTGTGTGTTTTTTCTGACATGGATGTGGTGAGAGTGAAACAGTTTATTCTCAGCTTCAAATTGTGGAACGGAATCTAGAATTGCAGGACAATGGACATTCCCGTAGTCTCTCAAATTCGCATATGCACTGTTTCTACAAACCAAATTGCCGACCTGATGTAACACGCATACAAAATCACTATATTCCCTCAGTCTCTCATGAATCAATGTAACTGGTCTCATTTTCATCGGAACAAGCATCACACACGGTAGAGTGATATTTCTTCCTGACCATTGTTGTGTGAGCTACTTATAAGTAGTATATGACATGAGTGTCAACGTAATGACTGGCAGCGGAAGATGGGGGAAGATCAAGAAAGGAAGAGTTAGAAGAACACAATGGAATTTGTATGAAACGCATGAATAGTGACATTGGATTGATGCTTTGCAACAGGAACATTCCAGTTTGATATGATGAACTGTTATTTTGCAAATGAACGATTTACGATATGGTTTTCCAATTTTACTGAGTAACTCTGTAATTTTCGTTAAATACAATTCGGTTGCCCCACCTGTGTTCTATTTAACTACACCATAACAATCAGCTGGCCAGCCTGCTCACACTGCAATTACTTCATTAGTAGTGATATGAATGACACTCACAAATAAGAGTACATCATGCCATTTTCACAAAAATACGCATAATTTAATTAGAAAACCGGAACCTAATGAGGTCAACAGAAAGTGAAAAAACCAAAGGAATTTAGAAGAAACAACAACAGATCTGAAAGAGAAAACGAGATGAGTATTTAGTTTATTTGAGTGCAGTCTGTTGGAAAGAACACTGAAGAGTGATCACTTCACCGACTGTTGCGAGAATTGTTAGGATGTGTGTTTCGACATTACGCGTAAACTAGTTGAAGTGAAAAGAAATTTCCAATTGGTGAGATCGGTGTCTGCAATGACTGACGGATGACGTAATGTGCATCTCAGTAGGTAAAGCACTGGTTGTTTGTAGTAATAACCGGACTGTGTATTCCAATGTGCACTAAACAATAATGTACACCACATCATCAGGTGAATGAAACTGTTGATAAATGAAATGCGTTCTGATAGATTTCGGATTGTTTTATCTGTCCGAAAGGCAACAGTACCTGTAGTGCTTGCCAGATCGTCAGTTATTGCAATAGTATAAGAAGTGGTAGCATTGAAGTTTGTCACGGGCATGTAGTAATTTACTCATGGAAAATTGAGGCAAATAAGTTATTCAGATGGTGATTTGTTTCACTGTCTCCCTACAATTCATTTGAATTACTCAAGCATTGCTCACCACCGATTTGTTGCACTACACTTTCCAGTGTGTTGGGCAAGTGAGTTTCATTCCATGAAACCTGTTCACCGTTGACACTGATTTGGACGTCGCAACCAGAGGTCAGTTCACTGCATTTTCTCGTATGCGTTTTTTCAAGCTGATCAGTATTAGGCACACAGTAGGTTTGTCTATAACGAGAAAAATAATTTAGCCACTGTCATTTGTTCGGAATGAATCATCATGTTATTGAGTAGTACAGACCAGTCTATTCCTGATAAATAAGCAATAACCTGCAATCAAAATGTTTATTACTTGTTGCAAAGTCATTCTCGTTGCCAAAATTGTTCGACCACTTGGATTGCATTGTTCGCAGTTTTCTAAACAACAAAGTTCATCCATCGAATTCTGTGATTATTTGCAATTCTGTTATTTTATGCAAAGCATTATCCAGATAGCACAAGAACGAAACCTCCAGCCGAATAGCATCAACCTACTTATTCCTTGCATTCGCTATCACAGAGTAACAACAGTGGTAATCATCCAATGGACAACAACATTCATAATAGGAATAATGACATTGATTGTTGGCAATGTGGACTTGTGTGGTATAACCTAATTCGAAAGCATCTCATATGTAAGCATGATTCTTGTGCGTACTGTTTAATTATGCCTCACGACGTGATGTGTAATTGATACAAATCTGAAATTCGCGACTGACCAAATCAACTGCTACCAGCAATTTGAAATGATGG